GCGCCGGGCCCCGCGTGTGCGCAGCGCGGCCGCGCAGCGAGGCCGGGAGCGGGGCGCGCTCCGCCGCCGCCTCCCCGCGGCGCTGCCTCCTCCCACCGCGCTCCCCGGCGTCTGAGAAAAGGAGCGAGCGAGCTCCGTGCTATTAATAATAATAAGCTCTATCCCCACTTTCCTCCTCTCCCTGGGAAAACAATTAATAATGCATTAAAATAATGCACCTTTAAAGCCACCGGCTGGCAACAATAAAATAATAATATTACCACCACTTAAGAGAGCGTTGCTGTGGATGTAGTGGAGAGGCACGTTTTCCTATCGTTCACACCCAAGTGTGAGCACGAATTATGCTTCTGGTATTCCTAAATCCCTTTCCCCTACCAGAGCAACTATCATCACCATCAAAGAGAGAATCGGGTAGAGACGCTGAGTCCCCGGGTGGCTGCTGCGGCTGGGCTTGCAAGGAAGGCACACCCCACACCCCCCTTCTGTTCGCCCGAAACCAATCTCATCGCTTCTCCTCCTCTTTTGCTTATACCGGTGGGTTAAGCATCGCGTTTGGCCCTTTTACTGTTTTCCCTTCCGTTCCCTCCCCTGACGATAGTTTGTGTATTTTAAATAAAGATTTCATTCTGCCAACCCGCAGGAAGCTTTTAACAAGATGCAGCTGAGCGTGTCGATATCTTGTATCTTTTTACTGCTGCTCCGGCGGGTACATCAACTCCAAACTCATTTCTTCTTCTCCTGATACTGTAGCATCTCTGAGGCGGCGGCGGCGGCGGCGGAGGCAGCAGCGCGGTGCTCTCGGGGGGGCACTTTTACTTTGCCCTCAAAGTATCTCCCAGCAATGAAAGCCGTCGGAGCCCCTCACCCTCCGCACCCCTCGCTTGTCTACAGCAAAATGCTGGGGTGACTGCTGTAAGATTTTCAGTTCCATTGATAACATTACACAGCCTGAGAGCCGGCGGAGTGGGGGGGTGGGGATTTTCTTTTTGTTTAGAATACAGTTTTGTGTGCGCTATTTTTAATTAAGATTTTTCCAGAAATAGATCCCGTCGAGATTTAATTTACGAAAGTACTTCGAACGCTGGTCAATACTGTCTTACAAGAGGAACGTTTGCAATCATTTGCCTCCCCACAAAGGTGCGCAAATGCTCTTCGCAGACCTTAAACCGTTTATGAAAGACTAAAAAGGGGATTTTGTTGTTCTTTTGTGTGTGTGTGTTGTGGGGTTGGTTTGTGGGTTTTTTTTCTTTGTTTTTTAATTTTCACTTCATCTGCATTAAAATAAAACTTTGTTCAGCATGCCGGCTACCTCCTACTGATCTCTGTTTTTTAAGAGGTGCTATTCCCACCCCCCCCACACACCTCCCCCCCGCAGTGTGAGATGTTTTGAATCAAGGTGATTTCTTTCCACGATACGCGTTTCCCAACCCCAAGCTGTGCAGTTCTGGCTTTACCGGTCCCTTGCCACTCCGCACCTGCGGAGCCGTAACCACCTCCTGGTGCAAAGGCTCAAGCACCAGGTGAAACCAAAGGGGAGAGACCCCGCGCAGGCCTCCAAAAAGTCGAGGCAGCCTGAGGCGCCTGCGGCGAAGGCTGCGAGGTGACACATCGTTGGCGGCTTGCGGAGGGAGCGCGGCCGCGGATCGGCGGAGCGGGGCGCCCGCCCGTCCGTCCGTCCGCCCGTCCGTCCCAGGGCTGCCCCAGCCCCGCTGCCGGGTGCGGCAGCACCGCGGTGGGGTCGGGGCGAGGGGGTGCGGGAGCTCCGCGGCCGAGACGGCCCTTTCTCGACCCCTGGTCAGTGTAGGGCAGCAGGTCAGAGGGGAGCACTCAGCCTCCGCCCGAAAAAGGGCTGTGTAGGGGCTTCCCATCCTAAGAGTGACCGAGGGTGCATCGTCCGCTTGCAGGTATTATTTCAGCTCCACGCTTTACCCCTACATAAAGCGAGGCACTGCCCTTAAGAGAGAGCAGGCGATGGAGACCTTCTGATACACCTGGTACTGAACGTCGCCGATTTTTTCTTTAAGGTGCACTACAACTCAATTTGACCTAGTTTGAAGCATGAAGATTCAGAGTTTAGGGGGAAAAAAGGAAAGAAAAAAAAATGCGAAAACGTTTCCTCCCCCTTGATTTAAACAATAATAATAAAAAAAGAGGAGGCTGCAAATTGTGCTATTGTAGAGCGCACCTTTATTGAGACAGGGCAACAGAGCAATTTAAATGTTTCCTCCCAGTGGTGTTTTCCCCTTTAGTAGGTCACTTGTGAATATTCTTTAATTTACAACTAAATATGGCACCGCTAATGTTTGCAAAACTGATTTTATCTATACTAAAATACTGATAAATGTAGTAGTAAAATACTGATAAATGTAATGGAAAATTAAGTATTCTAACATAACACTCCTTATCAAATTAAAATTAAATATCTTTTATTCCTATGTTCCCTTTTCATCTTCAGTCTTTCCCTTTATTTTTTCTTTTGACTTAGATTCTTCCAGCTTACTATGTCTTATGCCTACGTTTCACCGCACATTTATTCACAGGAGTAAATTCTACAATTAGTAATATACACATATGATTATATATATACTACCTTTCATGAGTACCACAGTTTTTTGCAGTATAGTATGTTAAGAGCTCATCTCACCATAATTTATGTGAAGCCCTAATGAAGGACCCATTCTGCATCCTAAGCATTACACTATGCTTTCTAAGGTTTATGAAGGCTGGGGTGAATACCACATTAGAAAGTGTTGCAAAGCTGGTCACATGAGAGCAACTGGGAGAAAATCCACAGGAATGCAAAATTACACATAAGTAAACAAGAAATAAAAATAAAATGTTCCAAATGTTACTTTAGAAATAGAAATACATCAGAATTAAGAAAACCTCCAAGCTGCAGCGTCTGCCAGATCTTATGACATCTATTGTTTAACATAGAGCCAATACAGTACCTATAGCCAGCTGAGGTAACAGTAGGAAAGATGATTTGCACGTCAGCTTTTTTAGAAACTAGTGGTAGTAGTAAATACACTGTTTTATACAACACCAGGAGTTCTTTTGTGGGAATAATCTTTCTTTTTTGCAACCTACCTGTGAAAAGTATGGACAAAGTTGGGCATTTTAAAAATAATGAAAATGAAGTTTGTGCAAAGGAAAAGGCATGCCTAGGAAAACTGGAAAACCGACAGTTTTAAGATGCAAAATACCATCTTATTTTACTTTCACCTTTAGGTCTCTGTGGGCACACATGCTTCTGTTTTTCAACCAACTTCAATCCCCAGACTTCCCCTTTTCGTGGACTAACATCTCCAAAAAAAAGCAGTAGACATTTTAGTATGTAGCATATTTATTACCACAATGAACACAAAAAGGTTGAATCGTCCCATCCCAAAATAAAAGTTATCAGAGAAAAAGGAATAGAAAATACATGAGAAAGAACACAGCAAGAAACACTTTGAAACTCCTTCTAAGTATTTTTTTCCTATGACAGAGTCTAACATCTCCTGCAACAAACTGAGAAGATGACTTAGCAATTTGTAACCACCTGGAAGACAAAAAGCACCATTCCTGCAAAGACTATGTGCCTACAAGCAGCTCTGAAGTCCTCCTATCGTCACGCCATTGATTTGTGTGACGCAGCATGATCAACACAGGCTCCCCACAGGTGTACCTTCCTTATTCACACTGGTCAGATACAACACTTTATTCTAAGGAAGAAGGAAAGCAGTCAATTGAATAAATACACAGTACCAATATTAATACACTTTCCCAATAAACATATCTTTAAGCAGACAGGTGAAAATCTGACAGGGAAAAGATGCTACATATTTTTCTTCTTACTGTGTGTAAAACATAATTGCCCATTGTTCAAAATCTGTGTCTGTACTCTACACATACTCAAAATCTGCATATGATGAGAGAAAATGAGAAAGAATTGCATGCATATACCCAAATTAGCTTCCTTACAAAATGAGAGGAATTGATCTTTGAGAAGGTGTTTCCTACCTTTGGATTGCAAGGTGCCTAAAAATGTACTTGATGAAATAAGCTTTCGTTTTCAGGTTGCTGAAATGGAGTTCCTTTGCATATAAAGGATGAGGTACGCACTCAAGAGCCAAATGTCTTATGGGTCATTATGGGAATTTTTTGCTGGGGAAGGACTGTAGCTCAGAGAGCATAACAGAATGTACTTATGAAAAAAAAATCATTTTATTTTAGCACAGTCATATTTACATATTAACTAGGTTCATTTATAGAACAACGACAACCATATCAGCAAGTGTATGTACTTCAAAATATGTTGGTAAAATTACTTGTATCTGGTAATATTTTTGTTAAAATGAGTTTAAAAATGAAAATATAGTTCAAACTAAGATGTTATACAGTATGTTCTTAATTGTCTTTTTTTCTTTTGATAGAGGAGCTAAATGGGTCTTTGGATCCCCATCATTGAAAGTATTTTTTCCTGTATGACTGAATGCCATAATTTTTTGTCATCATTTGTGACCTTTTATATTTTAACAGTCTCACACTGCATAAAAGAATTACATCTATTTTTAATAACATCAGGTGGAAATCTTGAACATTTCAACTATAAAGCCTGGGTCAGAGTGTTTGGATCTGACAGTCTAAAGCTATTTCCACTTGTGTCCCTCTCCCTAAACCTCTATCTAGGCATCTTTGTTTGAATTCACAGAACTGCCGTTTCTTGTTATTTCAGAGCAACAAGTATTAGCTAAGGAACAAAACTCTTCAGTGTGATTCTACTGAGTATGCTTAGCTCTGGCTGGGCATCTGCTTACTTTTGGAAGACGAGACAAAAAAAGGGAAAACTAGTTTCATGTCTTTGGGTCAAAGGAGATTTCTAACTGTTAAAGATCAACCTGAGAATAAATATGAGGACCATGTATCCAGCTTCAATATATGTTTGCATTACTTTTACTCCTTTCACTGAGACAGCTGGGGTTAGACTTGAAAGTCTGTTGGACTGGACCACATGTCTGATCAGTATATCAATACTGACGTTCTTATAGGCCTTGAAAAATTCCAGGGATTTCAGTGTGCATTAAAACATGCACTGAAGTTTTATCAGATTGTAGTCCGTTATTGATTTGGATTTTAGTCTACAGTACTGAAGATAAAGCAAAATTCTGCCATTCAATTTAGTGAGAACAGGATAGGTCTCCAAATGAGTAACCTCATCTATGCTCTTAAGCAGAGGACCTAGTAAGAGCTTGATCAAGTGCTTCGTTAATCTACCCACTGATATTTTGGTTGAATTTCTTATACACTTGGAGTACATTTGAAGATAACTTAAGATTTCTGAAATGAAAGGAAAAAACAATGTTGCTCTCACCTTAAAGCCTCTTTTTTCACTAATTCCTACAAGATATGTCTTGAGCATATGTTTTATATTCTTGACTAAAAGAAATGAACTGTTAAGAATAAAGTAAAACTATGAAGGTAAGAGAATAAGGTGATACATTTGGGAAGGAAGATGACTAATGGTAGAACTCCTTAAGGCAGATAATGATGTACCTTGTGATAAAAAACATCGTAATTCTCTTTGTGGTCTTTTAATAATGACCTTCATCTCTATTATATTAATGGTTTAAAGACAGAAAGGTCTTCAGTTATATCCCTGATGGAGTGAGTGTCAGATAAGCACGTTATTTTTAATTCGTGGACTAATGTAATACATGCTGAATTTTTTATAAATCAAATCATGCCTTCGTGAACCATAATCTCTTCCTTCTTGGCTTACATGTCTGATTACTTTTACCTTTTCCTTTTAAGGTTTAATGGGTATCTCTCTAGTTCCTCCGCAAATTAAAACCAGAAGCTATATACCATTGGAATCAA